CTCAGAAACAACATTAGAATTTCCACAGCTCTGCATGGTCGTGTGTGCATTTTGGCTGACTGGGTAGGCGTTGGTGTTTGATCTTAGCTTAAGCTCACGTTGGAAACTATCTAAAAGCTCCTGGACATCTTTTGCAGTCCAGCATTCTAACGGCCGTACTTTAAAAGTGCGTGCTAGATCAGGGTCTGGGCAATTTCTCACAAACATCATTGCAACTTCAGAATTTAAATTGTCCATTCTTCTGCCCTGCCCTCTGAGACACTCGTCAGCTATATCTGCTGCTTTATTAAGGCGAAGCCAGTAGTCAACAGGATTTTCGCCGTGTTTGGGCAATGTGCTGTAAAAGTCTGCGAGTGGCATGCTGGAGCAGGACACTTCACTGAAGTGTTGCTTAAGTATGCTGTATATAATCTCAGGGTGATTTGTGCAGTCAAGCGCAGGGTTGCTGCGTAGGGCTACTTTCACAATGTCTTTAGCCCTGCCCATTAGATGACTAATAATCTCATCAGCCTGTTCGGTAATTTTGACATTTCTCTTCTGCAGGTAAACTTGCATCATCTCAACCCATTCTTGAATGTCATGTCTACCTAAACCATCCCCCCTAAACACTGATGGGACTTTTTCATCTGATTTCAGAACGACATTCAACTGTGACAAATCAAGATTAGCACACTGAGAGCCTGTGGTGTTACTACCATTATTGGTTCTGGCAAATTCACCCCCTGACAAAAGTTTGGCTGTGACTGAGTCACCAATTTGTCGGCCCAATTCTTTAACTAAAGCACCTAATTCACTGACGCCTTGATCACTAGAACTTTCCACATTACATGGCTTCGGAGTAGAAGTAAGAGGGAGAGTCTTATGTACATCATGAGCCATATAATTTCTCCCATTACCAGCATGAATGTCAGTCTTACAGTCAAATTCACCCAACCCTGGCTTGTTATCAGAAAACTGCATCAGATATTTCCCCCGTCCAATCCCAAGAAAAGAATTATCTGCACCACCCTCAGCCATGTTTTCAAATGTAAAATACTCAGAATGTTCTGAGCTAAACTCAAAAGTCAGATTAATCAAAAAGCCTTCTATTCACTTATCTGTAGTGCGACGTTTTTCTCTTTCGAAAGTCCCCCGAAAAAAAGTGTCTTTAACTGGAGAATCTGGCAACCGCAGTCCACTCGACCGAATGAAGCACGCGATGTCCACGCTTCTCTTCGCTGTAGGCCTTGTCGTCCCCCCCCGGAGATTGGCTTTGCGTTGATCACAAACGGGAATCACGGCACCATTGTAACCCCGCTTTCTGGTTCTTTCTTTTAACCCATCCGGAAAGGACAACACCAAGACGTAGGCTGAGCTCACTCATCACGTTTACATTCTCCTCAACAGCTTTCATGCGACTGAGGAGAAAATGGCCGACTCCACTAATAGGTTACCTTAGTCACCTGTAGGTGTCCCCATATCCCTTTCTTTTTGATGCACTTAATACATTCTATTCAATTAATATCTTAGAATTATTTTGCAATATGAACAATCATTTTGGCACAATTCATTACAAGTTTCTTTTCCCCGTTACATTAGGAAATGGCCCAAAGCAATCAAGAATATTTCATGAATTAATTATTTTCTTAAAAGAAACAAGACTGATCAATCGAATGTAGGATACAGTTGTAGTAAATAAAGCGGGAATAATTGGCGTTGTATTTTTGTGTTTGTTTTTGGCTCTAGTTCTCAAACTTCCACAAACATGCACCATTTAAGTTAGTTTGCCAACCGTCATTAAATTTAAAAGAAGAAGAATAAGATCTGTGCGCCGAAGAAGGTCAACTTTTTGATGGACTTGAATGGGCTGTATTTGTATTAATCCTGGTGGAGACTACAGGAAGTCGACTGGTCAGCAGGAGGAAACGCGCGCTGTGGCTCTGGTTTAAAAGCAGCGGCTGGATTTGAAAAGCTGTTCGTGGATTATTGTGTTAATAACAGGGAGCAGTCGAAGACCATAGGAGGTACATTTCTGTCCAATCCAGATTGTTAACATATCTGGCATTTTAATCGGGACGTATCTCTCTGAAATGTAACTTAATCTGTTCTTTTTTTATATTAGAGGTGAAGCCAGTCTAATCTAACACGTGTGTGTGTGTGTGTGTGTGTGTGTGTGTGTGTGTTTTTGTTTGTTTTTGTTTGTGTTTTCCCCCAAGTTCATCGTTAATAGCCGCGGCGTGTATCGTTCATTGTCTGTTTTATTCGTGAGTGTAGTTATAAACACTTTGACTGCAGTTATGAACAGCTTGCTTTAGTTTCGTTTTGGTTGCATTCAGTGTTTCACGGGGAACCCGGATGGAAACGGAGTTTCCGGGTTCGAAGTCGTTGTGAATGTGAAATCTGAGTTTATACAATTAAATAACAAAAGAAAACAATCGCCCTGCTGAAAGAAACGATAGAAACCATCACATAAATGCTAATGGTTTCCACTACTAATACCATTAAACACATTATCAAACCATCAACTTTTAAAACCATTAAAAAATAGTTTCCTCTGTGTTTTGGGACATATTCTATTAAGTATGGAAGACCAAACCTGCAGAAATTATAAATAAATAAATAACACGAAAATAAAGACAGAAATAAATGACTTGATAAAAACAAATATAGTAAAAATAAATAAATCTGGAAATAATTACATGGGGGGGAATTAATAAATATAAAAAAAAAATCAATAAATGCATGAATAAATACATTTTAAAAATAAATGAATTAATAAATGCATAACCTAAATAAAATAATTCTAAACTTAAATGAAATAATAAGTACATAATACATTACAAATAAAGACAGAAAATACTACATAAATGAAAAGAGAAATAAAAACAAATTCAGGATTAAGTTTTATTTCAAGTGAACTATATTTGTTTTTATCATGTATGTATTTATTTTCCTGTTATTTATTTATTTATTTTTAATTTCTGCAGGTTTGGTCCTCCATAATTAAAGTGGTTTTAACAAGCCACCAATAAAAGTTTAACAATTACCAGTAGTTTCTAATAAAACCAAGATGATTCCCATTATAACCAGTAAAACCATTACAGTTTCTATTAAAGCCAAGATGATTCCCATTATAAACAGTAAAACCATTACAGTTTCTAATAAAACCAAGATGATTCCCATTATAACCAGTAAAACCATTACAGTTTCTAATAAAACCAAGATGATTCCCATTATAAACAGTAAAACCCATTACAAACTCTTTGATGGTTTCTATTCCACACCCAACACCACCACCACCAGGGCAGACTATGCAGCTTTATTTACAGTGGGGAAAAAAAGTATTTAGTCAGCCACCAATTGTGCAAGTTCTCCCACTTAAAAAGATGAGAGAGGCCTGTAATTTTCATCATAGGTATACCTCAACTATGAGAGATGATGAAAATTACAGGCCTCTCTCATCTTTTTAAGTGGGAGAACTTGCACAATTGGTGGCTGACTAAATACTTTTTTGCCCCACTGTATATTCATAATGTTTATTTTGTGTACCTACCTCTGTATGGTGGATTTAGGCTAGTGACTCTTTTGTTCACATCTGAAAAGTGTAAAATATTAAGTGTGAAATACTAAATATAATTTAAATGCATGATGGGAATCTGCTTAAACATATGTCTTTTCCTTCAGGTTTGAAATTCCTGCAGCATGGCGTCTGCACAGCGATCTGCTAAAGAGTACCTCAGAAACACCAGGAAAAACCTGGTGACTGGCATGAAAAACCTTCCTCTGATCATTGAGAGTCTTTATCAGAAGAAGGTTTTCAATGTCTATAACCTCAATGATCTCAAAGCCGAGAGCTCAGAGTTTGAGAAAGCCAGATGTATATTGGATTGGGTTATTAACAAAGGTGATGAGGCCAGTTATGAATTACTCAAGATTCTGGATGTCACTAAGAAGAGGACATTAGATCCTGGTTTGCACTACTGGATCAGCTGTTCTCCCTTCAGAGATGAAGATGCAGCACCCAGCTATTTATTTGGTTGGTAGAAAAATAACATTTTGGTGGAATATACACATTTTACCATTTTTAATGCTCGTCTTGCTATTTTAGGTACAAAGCCTTGTAAAAACTACCAGAAACAGCTCAAAGACAAAGCAAAGGAGAAAAGTTTCTTTAAATATCTGGAGAAGACACAAGTAAACTTCAGTTTTATACCTCTGGTTTTAGAGACCGACTCTGCGGTAAAAACTCCTCAATGCAAAATAAAATTGAAAAACAAAAAATGCAAAAAGCTACGGCCCAAGAAGCTGAGAGCTTACATTCCTAACGAGGAACAAGCACTGTCACCTGAGGACCTCCTGAGATGGCAGGACAAGAACATCCTCATCATCGGCAAACCTGGAGTAGGAAAGACTACCGTTGTCCAGGAAATGCTGCGACTTTGGGCAGAGAAGGATGACAGACAGATAGACTACATGTTTTACTTTGATGAAAGTGTTTTGGCCCACAGTTCTAGCACTGCCAGCTTGGAAGCTCTTTTGTTTGATGTGTATATAAAACCAATGGAAAAATACAGAAAAGAAGTGTTCCAAGATATTGAGGAAAACTCTGAGAATGTTGTCATTGTGTTTGATTGTGTGACGAATTTGGGGAAAAAATCCATCTTGTGGAAGATAATGAAGCACGAGCTCCTGCCCAATGCCAAGATTGTGATCACATGCAGATCAGAGGAGGAAGAGGATCCACTTTTCTCTGACTGGCCGACACGGACAGTGTATGTCCAAGGATTCAGTGAAGAGTCTATCAACACTTACTATCAGAAGATGTTGGGTCATAATCCTGTTCTTCTAGAAGTCATCTTGAAGAATCAAGAGCTGTTCAGTCTTAGTCACGTGCCAATGTATGCATTTATGGTTGCCGCCTCCATTTCATTTAAAAATTTCACCGTAAACAACCATACACTCACAGTCACAAAGATGTACATCCACATTTTCCGTCTTACTGTGATGACGCATGGAGAAAAAAAAATTGAGGAAATAGATGAAATCCTGAGAGAGATCGAAGATCAGATTCATCCTCTAATGAAAACTGCATTCAGTGCAACTATGAAGAAAACCCTAAACTTTAATAGCTGTGATAAGAAAAACGTTTGTCATGCTTTTCTGAAAAACATCACACTACAAGACTCAGTATCTTCTGCAACGACATACTGTGCGTTTCTCCACAACACAATGCAGGAATTCTTCTCGGCTTTGTGGCTTCTTGGACATCCAGATGAAATTGAGAACGTCCTACAGCTCTGTCAGACTGAGGAGCATAAACACATGAGACATGTTCTTCCTTTCTTATGTGGACTTCTGAGTGAACACAACACCAGTCTCCTCAAGTGTCTCTTCCCAGAGGATCAGATAAAGAAAACATCTGACTGGTTCATTGAGAAGCGTTTAGACACGTTTCTTCAACCTCAGAGTGAAGAGTTTGATCTTCTGTATGTGTGTCTATGCTTGTATGAGCTCCAGTCTCCTAAAGCCTGTTTAATGTTCCTGGAGCAGATGGACCATCAGCTTGAACCAGAAGTGGATCTTGATCCTCATCAGTGCTGTGCTTTGTCTTACGTGATCGGTCAATCCAGAGATAAAGAGGTTTATCTGAATCTGGAGGACTGTACCGTAGCTGATGTGGGAATGAACATGATGGAAGTGCATGCATGCATCTGGCTGTAATTGGTTCTGCACATTTTGCTCATCTCAAATAAGCCTCTATTTACTCCCGTGTGTCAGTCTGTCTCTCTCATCTTGTGTGAATGTAGGCAGATCAGTGAGTTATAGTTACAGAGGGTGCTGTGTGAGTCTCTGTTGTATTTAGCTTAGTAACTAATATGCTGTATGTAGAAATAAGTTAGCATTTTGCTAAGTTATTTGTTCTAAACCTAATGAAAATTCATGCTGAAGCAAGACACAAAGCATAGAAACACATTATAGCAACACTATATGTACAAAATAATGTTCTGACTTTTGAGTGATTTGATATGTTTTTTGTAACTATTCAAATGCATTTTGTTTGTTTGACCACAATATCATTGTTGAGAAGGGGCATCTTTGATTAACTTTGAAAAATCTGCATTTTAAGACTCATATCTGTGAGTTACCCTGTTAAATGAACAGCTGCAATTAGCATCCATACCCCCTAGAAATATCTTAGCATTGTCTGGTGGGCATAATCCTAAAAAAAAAAAATCAGGTCAATCAGTACATGCTCTTATGCTTGATTTCTTTGTTGCAGGTTAAACACTTGTAAAGATCCACTGAAGCAAATCACCTTCTTTGTAGAATTCTTCCATAAATCATCTCATTGTGACTGCAAACATTTTGAGGTGAGAGGACAATACAAGCCAGAAAAAAACAATGCTCTGCTGGATCTTTACTCTCATGTGAAGAACTATGAGAATCAAACAGGCAGGGGTTATCTTCCAGCATTACAGTCAGTTTTCCAGTCACCTGATGTCTGGATCATAGATCTCTCAGAGAGAAAGAGCTCCGTCCTCCTGGAAGTGCTGAAGCTCCAGAGAAAGAAGAAACCAGTAAATCTGAGAGGATGTTCAGAGGAAGAGAGTGAAGTGAAGAGTTTCCTTCAGTGTCTGCAACACATCTCACAGCTGAGGTGAGAAAATCTCTGGCATCTTACAGTTATTGTGAAATATGATTTCTGCATAAGCTGGAACATGTTTTCTGGTCTTAATGAGTGTCTTTAGATTAGGGGCTGTGTTTTGTTTCAGTGTTAGCTATAGAGTGATGCATTCTGACCATTCACTACATCTGATCTCATTTCTGTGTCAACGGCTAAAGCACCTCATTGTTCAGGTGTGTTTAAAGAGTAATATAGATATGTCTGTTATTCAAGGATGCAGTTACTGCACAAAAAAAGTGTTATAACTTTTACGTTTCCCCCGAGAAATAACTTTTGCGCTCACATAACTTTTGTGTTCTCTCGTAAATATATTTGCATTCGCTTGCAAAACTATTGCATCCTCTCACAAAGATATTTGCGTTCTCTCACAAAACTAGTTGAGTTCGGACAAACATTCCTGTGTACTATACAGCTCTGTACGTTCACAGTGCAGCAGTTCATAGAGTTTAAGTTTGAACTTGGACTCGAGTATAAAGAAATACAGAGACACATCTTGAAGTGCTGCTTGCTGAAAGGACCTGAAGTAATCCCAGAAGGTGCTCTTTGGTTGAGTTTGAAGCAACTATTACAAGAAAGGAATCCAAGGCACTTCTTCTGGTCCAAAAATAAGTTAAAAAGCCTTTATTCCCATTATGAGCATTACAATAGAAGCATTACAAATGACTAAAACACTGCACACTGATGACACACTCTGAGGAAGACTGAAACGCATCAGTGTGCAGTGTTTTAGTCATTTATATTATATTATATTATTATTATTCAGTCACAATATTTATGTAAAATACAAGATTAGTTTTATACCTCTTGTTATAATGGCCAGTATAGATGTGTTTTCTGTGCAATTCACTTCTTTTTTTTTTTAAATTCGCAACACAATTCGACACACATGTATATGAAAAATGCTATATTACAAGCAGTAAAGATACATTTATGAAGATAAAAGTGACTTTAAAACTGAGTACGATTTAAGTATTTACGTGGATCTATTGAATAAGGTTATATTGAATACTGATTGTGTCAGTTTATCCCACTTTAGATTAAAATTAAGCATTATTTAATGACCTCATTCAAATGTGTCACTTCTGCTTTGTGGGTCTCATGAAACTTCCTCTTTTACTGTCCCTTCAATAAGAAGACTTGAGTTCAATGTAAGTCTGTGTTGTATCTGATGCCGTTATTTAAGGTTTGTACAGTTATCAAAACTGTAAATTCATTATTGACATTTAAAGTCTATTTTAAAAGTGTTTAATGTGAGCTGACAGCCAGAAACAAAACACTGTTTATTGTTATTTTGCGTTATTTAATCACATCATAGCTGTAATAAGTTCTGTGATTTTCTCTGTTTATTCACATTTCTCATTTCCATTTTGTTACAGATTATCTAATCTGAGTAAAAGTGTTCTGAGAAAATTTCTTCTGAGACTCTTCATTAAAGCAGCAGAGATTGAGACACAGACAGGAGAGCAGATGCTGAAACTGTTAGCATCTCATTATGAATGGAGTTACATATTTTATGACTGTGATTTCCTGCTGGATCTGTGCTCTCATGTGAAGAACTATGAGACTCAAACAGGCAGGAGTTATCTTCCAGCATTACAGCCAGTTTTCCAGTCACCTGATGAATGGTTCATAGATCTCTCACAGAGAAAGAGCTCCGTCCTCCTGGAAGTGCTGAAGCTCCAGACAAAGAAGAAAATAGTATATCTGAGTGGATATTCAGAGGAAGAGAGTGAAGTGAAGAGTGTCCTTCAGTGTCTGCAACACATCTCACACCTGATGTGAGAAAATCTCTGGCTACTTACAGTTATTGTGAAATATGATTTCTGCATAAGCTGGAACATGTTTTCTGGTCTTAATGAGTGTCTTTAGATTAGGGGCTGTGTTTTGTTTCAGTGTTAGCTATAGAGTGATGCATTCTGACCATTCACTACATCTGATCTCATTTCTGTGTCAACGGCTAAAGCACCTCATTGTTCAGGTGTTTTTAAAGAGTATGTGATAGAGATATGTCTGTTATTCATGGATGCAGCTACTGCACAAAAAAAGTGTTATAACTTTTACGTTTCCCCGAGAAATAACTTTTGCGCTCGCATAACTTTTGTGTTCTCTCGAAAATATATTTGCATTCGCTTGCAAAACTATTGCATCCTCTCACAAAGATATTTGCGTTCTCTCACAAAACTAGTTGAGTTCGGACAAACATTCCTGTTTGCTTTACAGCTGGCAGTGGTTCATACAGCTCTGTACGTTCACAGTGGAGCAGTTCATAGAGTTTAAGTTTGAACTTGGACTCGAGTATAAAGAAATACAGAGAGACATCTTGAAGTGCTGCTTGCTGGAAGGACCTGAAGTAATCCCAGAAGGTGCTCTTTGGTTGAGTTTGAAGCAACTATTACAAGGAAGGAATCCAAGGCACTTCTTCTGGTCCAAAAATAAGTTAAAAAGCCTTTATTCCCATTATGAGCATTACAATAGAAGCATTACAAATGACTAAAACACTGCACACTGATGACACACTCTGAGGAAGACTGAAACGCATCAGTGTGCAGTGTTTTAGTCATTTATATTATATTATTATTATTCAGTCACAATATTTATGTAAAATACAAGATTAGTTTTATACCTCTTGTTATAATGGCCAGTATAGATGTGTTTTCTGTGCAATTCACTTTTTTTTTTTTAATTCGCAACACAATTTGACACACATGTATATGAAAAATGCTATATTACAAGCAGTAAAGATACATTTATGAAGATAAAAGTGACTTTAAAACTGAGTACGATTTAAGTATTTACGTGAATCTATTGAATAAGGTTATATTGAATACTGATTGTGTCAGTTTATCCCACTTTAGATTAAAATTAAGCATTATTTAATGACCTCATTCAAATGTGGCACTTCTGCTTTGCTGGGTCTCATGAAACTTCCTCTTTTACTGTCCCTTCAATAAGAAGACTTGAGTTCAATGTAAGTCTGTGTTGTATCTGATGCCGTTATTTAAGGTTTGTACAGTTATCGAAACTGTAAATTCATTATTGACATTTAAAGTCTATTTTAAAAGTGTTTAATGTGAGCTGACAGCCAGAAACAAAACACTGTTTATTGTTATTTTGCATTATTTAATCACATCATAGCTGTAATAAGTTCTGTGATTTTCTCTGTTTATTCACATTTCTCATTTCCATTTTGTTACAGATTATCTAATCTGAGTAAAAGTGTTCTGAGAAAATTTCTTCTGAGACTCTTCATTAAAGCAGCAGAGATTGAGACACAGACAGGAGAGCAGATGCTGAAACTGTTAGCATCTCATTATGAATGGAGTTACATATTTTATGACTGTGATTTCCTGCTGGATCACTGTATTTCTCTTTCTCTCTCTCTCTCGTAAATGAACACTTGATGAATTCCTCTTTTCTGAGAATAGAATATAAGTGGATATCGCTAAACTGCAAGCTTCCCAGTGTTTTCAGAAACCCAGTGCTTTTATTCTCAGCAGAGAGAGAGCGTGTGTGTGCACATGGTTTCTAAATTGACAAAAATTAGTAACACATTTATCAGATAATTCTGTATTGAGCAAGTGTGAAGCTCTGTTTCGGGGATTACATCTCTTTATATCAGGCAACTCAGTTGTATTCCTCTGCGGCCAGATTGAACCTAGTTGTAGCCTATATATTATACTCTATTCATATTTTTTAGGACCCTTGCACTTTTCCACTCCGTTTTAAACGCTGTTCTTGTCTTCACATTAAGTGCGGTCCACTGCTGCGTGCTGCGATATCAACACAGAAACAGCTCGATACCCGTATCGTCAAATACCTGTAGAGATACATTGTCTTATCAAGCACATCTCTACTGGGTACCTCCAAGAAAATCCCCATCCTCTCCTCCTGATTACCTGTAGACTTTGCACAAATGACATCCATATAGCACCGCATTTCAGCTAAAACATGATCAAATTAGATAATTTTTTGTTGAACTATGTACAGTAGTATATTTATGAAAATTGACTCAAATGAATGAAGTGTTTGGTTCATGATTGTATATTATCAGGTTTTGGTTCATTGATGATGAAGAAGAAAGGACATCTGCAGTAAGATTCCTGCTGAATCTCTGTGTTGCTGCAGTAGAAACTGACAAAGATGCAGGAACAAGATTCTCGACTCTGCTGTCATCTGTGTGCAGCTACAAAACCTTCCCTTTTGATGAAGATGGTTATGATCAGAATGATTTCCTGCTGGATCTGTGCTCTCATGTGAAGAACTATGAGACTCAAACAGGCAGGAGTTATCTTCCAGCATTACAGCCAGTTTTCCAGTCACCTGATGAATGGTTCATAGATCTCTCAGAGAGAAAGAGCTCCGTCCTCCTGGAAGTGCTGAAGCTCCAGACAGAGAAGAAACCAGTATATCTGAGAGGATGTTCAGAGGAAGAGAGTGAAGTGATGAGTTTCCTTCAGTGTCTGCAACACATCTCACAGCTGAGGTTGGTCTTTGTTTTGTGACACTCATATATTTTCTTGTCTTTAAGTGTGGCTTTGGAGTCCTCAGGCTGTTCATTTACCTCACCTGTCCTCCCTCATTATCCTTGTAGTTTGTGTCCTTCAGTTCTCTCTTCTGTGTCTGACTGTCATCTAATGTGTCCGCGTGTTCTCCCTGCGTATTTTGGTGTTCCCCGCTGTATCCAGCCCATCTCTGCCCTGCCCTGTCTTGCCTTGTCTTGCCTTGCTGTGTATTATAATACAGGCCATTGAACTGTACACTTCAGTCCCCATAATCCATTCAACTCAGTGTTTCCCCTAGGTTTATGGCTTTTGGGGTGGGGGGGGGGGGCGATTCCGTTTTTTGTGCAGGCATTGAGGTCTATGAAGGTTCCAGCTCCCATCACTGTTAATGAGATCACACTTGATCTGAATGAGGAACAGCAGTCAGAGAGGAATCTGTCCAGAGTCCTGAGCAGCTTGGCCATCCTTCTGAGATTCTGGACTGTCCAGTGTTTGAACTTGATTGGACACAAGATTCAGTCTGTTTCTGTGTCTGTCCTACTGTGTCACCAGGGAGCAGTGACTCTCAGGTCTGACTGTAGGACACATTTCAAGTGTTTGATTTTATATCTACAATAACAATATATAAATATAATGAACTCTTTGTGTGTGTGTGTAGACTGTCCAAAGTGACTCTCCAGAAGCTTGTTGAATGTGTCTATGAAGCTCAGGAAGAGGAACTAACTCAAAGCTTCCTGCAGAAAGTGGGCGGGGATCTGACTTCCTGTTCCTTGAGCTGGGAAGAGCTACATTATTTCCTGCAGCACAGAATTCAGCAAATCACTGTGAACCTCAGAAAGAGCAACATTCAGGTCAACATTAGAGAAATTCTGCCATTCCTGAACCGGATTAAGTTTAAACGGTAGACAATTATTGTTTTCACAAAATATGCATGTAAAATGTATTGCTTTTCATTTTTGCACATAAAAACAAACTGAATAGTATGATAAAAAATGTACAATGATTAAATAATGAAAAATATGTCTGTACAGGATGAGCTCTGCCTTCATGCTGTGTGCAATCAGAGAGATCTATGAGTCCGGCTCTGCTGGGTTTGTGTCCAGTCTGTTGAGTTCAGTGAAGAACTACATTAACCTGCAGAGCAGAGATCTGGACTCTGTTGACTGTGCGGCCCTGCACTTCACACTGCAGCACTGCACTGCGGCTTCACTCAACCTTCTCTGGACCTCCATACCAGAGGAAGAGCTGCAGAGCATTCTGCCTCTCTTCACACATCTCTCCCACCTCAGGTCTCACTGCTTTTCTCTCTAGCTCTATTATTCTGTTTCTCTGTCTCAGGTCTGTCTGTGTGTTTCATTCAGTAGCTTTCTGGGTGATGTCTACTACAAGCCTTGAAGTAGCATTGAATTATGTTTTAACTTATTAAAGGCATATTGTTTTATTAGTAGTATTTTAATAATAATTTTAGGTCACTTATTGGTTTGCATTTATGGGAGCTCTGTTTTACTTTCTATCTCAAAAGTTCTGAAAAATGTAATTATGAAGGAAACCATTATCACATCTAGAATCATTAAGAGCCTTCAGAATAATATAATTCCGTAAGATTCCCATTCATACTAGGATCAGTTTTACAAACAGCGCCAGCTGTCTTTTGCCGTTAAAATAGTACTGTCAAGTTTAACTAAAGATGTGCAGTGAAGAATTGGCGCTGAAAATGTGTGGACACAGTTATTTTTGTGCCTGACCTTATTGAATATGCATTTGTAGGAGCTCTCTGAACGTTAATGTGGCAAGCCTTCTAGATGTTAATGTTTCCTTTTCAGAGGCAAAATTTATGGGTGGAGAGTATTCAAATGAATCACGCAATGACATTTTCTAACGTTTGTGCTCCTCAAATGACTGGTATTTGCACCATTATTTAACACCGAAAAAAAGCATGTCTTAAACTGCTTTGCGCTTGAAATGACTGCAATTATTGTTGCCATGAGGAGGCACAGCAGAGAAAAGGGTGGAAGGGAGAGGAATTTTTCCACACGTATTAAACGCATTATCCGAACATATCGTTTGCCAAGACATGTTATTTTTTAATTTGCTTCAGGAAAATAAAAGACGACTTGAAATCCTCAACTAGAAGTCACGCAATTCCAGGTCTATCAAAACTTCTTGCAACCCAGCGTACTGTGGCTTCTTTATTTCTTTATTTGCGACTGCTCTAATTTGCGCTGCACTTGGTATATTGCGTTGGTCAATATGTAAATGAGATGATGTGTCTGTGTTCTTTAATTTACGCATTGTTAGTAAATCACCCACAGAAATTTCCACGCCCATCTGCGCTGTTTTGGAATTGCGCTCTTACGCTAATTTGCCGTTTAGTAAAACTGGCCCTAAATAGTTAAAATTTTCTAAAGCTGCTTTAAGGCTGTTACTGATGTTGACAGGCTGCTGTTGCTGATGTTACAGAATCTGTCCTGATCTAGTGTTCATCTGTGTTCAGTGTTGACAGGCTGCTGTTGCTGATGTTACAGAATCTGTCCTGATCTAGTGTTCGTCTGTGTTCAGTGTTGACAGGCTGCTGCTACTGATGTTACCTGAATCTGTCCTGATCTAGTGTTCGTCTGTGTTCAGTGCTGACATGCTGCTGTTACTGATGTTACAGAATCTGTCCTGATCTAGTGTTCGTCTGTGTTCAGTGTTGACAGGCTGCTGTTGCTGATGTTA